AGAGAGGGTGCCAGGAACTGCGAGCCAGACCGAACACTCGCTTACAGCATCCGCTGTGTAGCCCCGCCGCCGCTGCATGCTGCAACTGCAGCCCCTTGGATCGAGGCCAGCTCCAGGCCGGCTCCAGGCCGCCTCGCTGGAACTGCTCCTTGCAGGCCTATTACGGCCCGTCTATTGATAAGGACGCCCGGTCGATAAGGCTGCGACCCCGGCCTCGGCTGTCTCTCTGCAGGACGGCTGCTGGAACTCGCCTTGGCCCCTGTGCTGGAGCGGCTGGAGCGCACCGAGTGTACCGTACATCATTTCATTAGTAGTTTCACTGGGCCAGCAGGGCCTCCACCCCCATCCACCCAAAACACGACCGGCATTTCCCTGTGTGTGTGTGTGTGTGTGTGTGTGTGTGTGTTGTGTGTGGTGTGTTTGTGTGTGTGTGTGTGTGTGTGTGTCAGGGCGGAACGGACGGACAGCCAAAGGTATAGGGGAGCATGATAGCACACTGTTGTCACGGCCGGAACGCGCGGCGCTGCGGCCATCAGCGGCCAATCGCAGAGTAGCGGCGGGCGGACGGACGGACAGACAGTCAGACAGACAGACAGACGGAGGGACGGACGGGCCGGGTCGTGGAGTAATGAGTGGAACGCCCGGCTCGCAGCGAGCCCGTCGAACGCGCGTGCGTGGCGGGTCGGCCCGCCCTCAAGGCGCCCCCCTCCCCGCCTCCCCGCGACGGCAGCTTGACTCCGCAGCACTCCGCGGCGCGCTCGTCCGGTCAGCCGTCCCAATCCCAATCGCAGATGCAGTTATATCTCTTGTTGGTTCGCTTTGCCTCGCGTCTCTGGGGCAATAGCGGCATCAGCCCCTCGCGAAATTGGAGTCCGCTCGTTTGGGTTTTCAGCTCACCCGGCGAAATAATGTTTCTCTCGTTTCCCACCCCGTGGATGTGTTGCCCGAGGTCCGCGGCGGCGGCTCCCCGATTTCGGGCTCGGGTCTTATCGGGTGTGTGGGTTGTATCCCGTTTGTTTGTCGTTAATTTATTTTTGTTGTTTTTTGTTGTTTTTTGGAGATGGATTGACCTACATAGTAGAGAAAACGCCAACGCGCCCGCAGCATGTGAAGTGCCCAGATTGCCGCGTCCAGAAGCCCGGTGACAAAGGAAAGGGGCGAAACACGCGGGGAAACTGAAAGACAAACAAACAAACGAACAAACGCGGCCAGAGCGGGGTAAAAGCGCGCGACTAATTTAAATTAATGCGCCGCTGCAGCACCGCCACGCCCCGGTGGCGCCAAATTCAAACGGCGGTCCGATGTGTGGGGACGCGATCGGGAAGCGCCCCGCCTCCATCCCATCCCGCTCTACTCGGCCGCCCGGAACGCACTGGAGAGAGAGAGAGAGAGAGAGAGAGAGAGAGAGAGAGAGAGAGAGAGAGAGAGAGAGAGAGAAGCGACGAGGACGGGGCGAGTGCCCCCTCTCCTTTGGTCGCCGTACAGGGTCGGATATCGCCTCTGCCCCCTGTTCTCCACCGGGCTCGTCCGTCCCACTCTACGTACTGCTGCCCCCCCTCCTCGATTCAGAGCCGCACTTGAATCCCCCATCCCGCCTTTTAGCCGCCACGCCCCGCCACGCACCCCAGTCGATTATGCCTCTAGGTGGTCAGAACTTTTGCCATCTCCATGAGCCGTGAAATGGGGGAGCGCGGCGTAATCTGGGGGAACAGAGCCGTGCCCCCTCCAGCGTTATTCGTCCCAGTCGTCATATTTCCTGGCCGCTCGGTGCTAAGGCGATGAGGAACCTTTCTGAACGAGGTCGGCCACCGGCAGCGCACAGTGGGCCAGAAGACCGGTGGAGGCGGACGAAACTCCGGACGCGTTTTGAGCTCCAGAGTCGCCAAATGGGACTCGAACCGAACGTGTGACCCCACCAAAGGATTGCTCTCCGAACGAGGAATCCTTTGGTGGGGTCGCACGTTCGATTCGAGTCCCATTTGGCGACTCTGGAGCTCAAAACGCGTCTTGAGTTTTGTCCGCCTCCACCGGCCTTCTGGCCCACTGTGCAGCGCCAGCGCGCGGCCCTCAGAGTCTCGTGAAAAACGCCGCGGCGTCCGACATCTCCATTGTGAGGGGCCGCGCCACTCGATGGAGAACTCGGCGGGGTTCATTTGCGAGGGCCTGGGCTGCCCCGAGGAGGCCGAGCCAGACGGCGGCCTGAACGGACGGCGCCATGCCGGGGCACGCCCGGGCACTTCACCGCCTTGCTTATCTCGATGGAAGACGCGGCGCAACGCCGGCGGCGGTTCAGGACGGCGGCGACGTCGGCGCGGTGCTGAGCCCGACACATGGCGGACACGGCGAGGATGGCGGCATCGAGGTGGTGGCAGCGTGGTGGCGGCGGCACGGTGACGGACGCTACGAGGATGACGGCGGCGTGGCGGCGGCGGCACGGCGACGGACACAACGGGGACAACGGCGACGCGCACAACAAAAAGCGCGGACAACGCCGCGGAGGGTTACACGCCGCGCCGGAACGGGGAAGGGGGTTACGTAGAGACGACAACAAACGGACGAAAAAACAACAACGCCACAACGCATCTCGTTATTGTCCCTTTTTAATTAAAAAGCCAGGAAATAGAGACAATGGCAGCAGCAAGGGAGATAGTGACTCTTGAGAGGGTTGACTGACGCGGAAGGGGAGGCGGAGCGGCGGAGGCAGACGACGCCGGGACAGCGTAGGGCCGCTTTGCGCCAACTTTTTCTGTGCGCTTTTGCACTGGGTGGGCTGGCTGGTGGGCTGGCTGGCGGGCTGGCGGGTGGGCGTCCCTCAGAGGATTGCGATTTGGACCACTTCCCCCGAATCGGGGGCGCTCCGCGGGGGACTTGGCAAAGGTACGGCGAGTGCACCGCCACACCGCCACGCTGCGCTACCTTTGTGTGCGACCGAATGCCTCCCAGGACGCGTCCGGCCACCGCGCCCCGGCCGACCCGACAGTCCGTTTGGCGGACACGACGACTCTGTGCGATGTGCGAGCCCTGTCGTCCTCCAGCCGGACGGGATGCCCACACTGATAGTCACCGATGGACTGCCCGAGGGCTGTTGCTCGCAGAGCGGGGGTAAAAGCCGCCATTTTTACTCACCGTCGGACAAATATTTTGAATCGATTTTGCATGAGTCCCCTTTTTTTCGACGGCATTTTAACTGAAATATCCATGTCGCATTGCCGGGCGCGTTTGGGTTGACGCATGGAGCCGCTCACCGCCCTTCCACAGTGCTCGCGGCGCGCCCTGTCCGACGGAAGCGGCGCGGAGGCGCGGCGCTTGACGGGGATGAAGTTCCAGAATAAGCGCCGTGTTGCTGGAGCGAGACGGTGAGCCATCGAGGCGGGGCGGGGCGGGGCGGGGCGGGGGCTCTTGAAGAGGAGTCGTCGTTCAGTGTGGTTCCCCTCACCTTGGCAAACTTTGATAACGTGCGGTAGTCGGAGCGGTTAGACATGTTTCTTGCCCCGCCCCCGCCACCCCCCACCCCTTTCCCCAGCGCGCCGAGCGGGCGCCTTCTCCTCATGGAGCTTCCGACCACTTTGCGACTCGGGTTACTAGTACACTACTCCGCAGGATCCGTCAAACTTGTCCCTCATCTTTTTCCCGCCGTTTTCGCCCGTCAGATTCTGGAAGCGGCGGTGTAGCGCAGCCTAGCCTCCCACCGGGCGCAGCGGGCGAAGCTGCTCGAGGAGGAAAAGGGGGAGCGTGATGGCCAGTAAATGGGGGTGGCGATGATGCATGCCAGGGTTAATACGCGCCGAATGTGTGCCAACACTTTTGTCATGCCTTGCTGCCTTGGCTGCCTTGGCTGCCTTGGCTCGGCTCCACGCCGCGTCTTGCTCGCTACACTGTGTGTGTGTGTGTGGTGTGTGTGTGTGTGTGTGTGTGTGTGTGTGTGTGTGTGTGCCGATATGCGATAAAAGCGAGCGACCGCTGAATCGTCGTCATAAGCGCATTCCGTTTCTCTGTCTCCCAAACGGCCCGGCGCACATACCCTCCCGATAAGGAACTCGCGTTTTTATTGAATTACGCTGCTTTATTGACCTGTGTCCACTGCTCGCATGCATGTCTGCGTGAGGAGTGTGTGTGTGAGAGAGGGAAGAGGAGAGGGGCGTGGTTTTTTTTGTTTGTTTTTTTTTTTTGCGTGGAGGGTGATAGTAAGGGGTTGGGGGTGCATGGCACGGCGCCGCGCTTTCGCAACCAGAGAACCTGACGCGGAGTTTCCTGTTGAGCCTTTTGAAGTCACGCTGCGAACTCACGCAGACACGACGCCTTCCCTTGCGACCGCATGCACACACACACACACACACTCACACACAGACGCGCATACACAGTGCGCGAGTCTCGTTCCAATGGGACCGTCAGACGCCACGAGGAAAACATGCTCCCAATCACATGTCTCACCCCCCACCCACCCCTGCTGTCCGTTACAGGTGGGAAAATAAGAATGTACAGTAGCGCCGGTAAGCCAAAGCCCGCCCCCTCCCCTCCCCGGCGGGGCTCCATCCCGCCCATTTCGGCACATCCAGACGTAAAGCTAGGGGCTAGGTCCCCTCCGGTCCCCTCGGTCTCGTAAGGGGGACGCGGAAGGGCCGCGAAAACAGGTGGGGAAAGGGAGGGGAAACAATTTGGATGCACATTCACATTGAGGGGGGCAGCGCGCCCTCGCCGCCCCCTGGCCGCCCCAGCGTGTCGTGCCGGCCGAAGCCCCACGCGGCACCGACGCGGCACCGTGTCGCAAATCGCATTGGAGGAAGCCGAAGGGTGCCGTTCTAGAGGAGCCGTCCCTTCGCCCTTCTTTTGCCCCTCTTCTTCTTCTTCTTCTTCTTCTTCTTCTTCTTCTTCTTCTTCTTCTTCTTCTTCTTCTTCTTCTTCTTCTTCCTCCTTCTCTTCCTCCGCCTCCTTCTTCTCTCCCTCCCCCACCTCCTCCTTCTTCTTCTTGTTCTCATTGGCTGCTCTCCTCCCTGTTGCAGGTCGCCACCATGATGGATCCTCAGATTCTCCCTGGATACGTGCGCAGGTGAGTCCCGTGCCTCACTCTGTACGGGCAAGGCTGGCCCAAGGCCGTCGCGAGGCCGTCGCGAGGTCCGGGCCTGAGCCCTCAAAGGCAGCAGGCGGCCGACCCGACGACGGATTGGAGGAAGAAGGAAGGGCCGCTTGACCCCCATTCCGCGTAAGCCGCTTTCTAAAACGCCGCGGCGCGGCATGAGACATTGAATGTGACATCCAAGGGCGGCCCACCAAAGGCGGGGCTGCGCCGCGCCGAGCCGCGCCAAGGAGCGGAAGGCACGGGAAGGGAAGGTCACGGGCGGGATAATGGCTCTCGAGACAAGACAGTCGCAGATGATGGTCCTCACCGAGAACGTAAAATCGTCATGACTTGAGAGTTGTTGTTTTTCCCTTTTTTTGTTTTGCTGAACAGAGAATAAAACATTCGTTTGTTGTCCAAGTTTTTGTTGTTCTAAAAAATTTTGGTCTTCAAGAATTTTTTTTTAGTGCTAGGGAATTTACGACGGGCTTGACGGGCGCTGTAATGCAGGCAGGTGCAGGCGGTGCAGGCGTGTGTGGGGTGCCTCGCGCCTTGCCACCCCTCGCTGGGGGAAGCCCCGTGCCGCCCCAGGGAAACCCCTCGGCCCCACAAGCCCCTCGGCCCCTCGACCCCTCGGCCTCGACAAGGCCCAATCCCGGGCCCATCCCGCGAGGGCCGCCCCGCCCCGCCCCGCCCCGCCCCGCCGGCGTCCACCGCCTCGCACGCAACCGCCTCATTGCCAGCGCTGTTTAAACTGCCGGCCAGCGGGCCAATTCCGACCGGCGCCCTCTCGCTCCGTCTCTCTCGCACCCCGACGGAGCTCCCCGCGGGTGCGAGAGAGACGGACGCACCGACACTGTTCGGAAACAGCCTGCAGCCCGGCCGCGCCAGCCACTCGATACCGCTGCCCACCCCACCGGATCGGCAAGCAAGACTTGAGAATCTCTTTTTATTGCGTTTCACGTCATTCTTTTTTTTTCCGGTGCATGACAAGCGTGAATTACCCGCGCAAGGCCTTGGCGCGCGGTACCTTCCCCTGCTGGTAATGAGTGGGGGGGGGGGGAGTCTAGCAAGTATGCTGCGGAAGTCGCGGGCAAGTTTTTGGAACGCCTTCGCCGCCCGTCCCGCGGCGGGGCGGGGCGGGGCCGGGCCGGGCCGGGGCTGGCTGCTAGTTAGCGCGATAATTCTCTGCGGCTGTCGGCGCGCCTCTGCCTCGCCGCCTTCCCACAGTGGCGCCGCACTCCGCTATCTTGGGATGCAGAGCGCGCCGCAGGCGGCTGCTGCTGGTATTTCGGCCAGAAAGTCGCCCAAATGATTCCCCTTCTTTTTCCCAGTGTGCCTCGCGCAAACTCGCAAGGGGGGACTCCTTTTTTTTCCAGCGCCCCCTGGCCAAGGCGAAGGCGAAGGCGCGCAACTGCAGTCCGTTTCCGGCGTAGATACGGGGCGCTGCCCGGCCAGGGCCCAGCTTGTCGGCGGCTGTCGAACGCTTCGAGTCCGATCGGAAGCGCCAAGCGCCGCGGCGCACGCCATGCGGCAATGAACACTCGTCATGCCACCACACTGCCACGCCGCCACACTGCCACGCCGCCACGCATCGCCCGCCTGTTTGTTCGCCGCGCTTTTGTGCCCCACTTTCGCGCCACGGATTTTTTTTTCAGCTCCCTTTTACGTCGATTCTCCATTCTCTATCACCCCGCTCTGTCTATCAGCAATAGTGCTCTATGTACCCTGGATCTATCCTCCCCTGCTGCCTGCTGTAGGATCCATCCTCTCTGCTCTATCCTCATTTCTCTGTCCGATCCTTCCTCTACCCTACCTCCATCCCCTTTCCTCTACCCTCCTCTCTCTCTCTCTGTCCTTCCGTCCCGGCGCTGCGTTGTCGCGGACGCGAGCGGCAGCGCAGTAGTAGAGTATTGCTTGCGTGGTTTATTGCCAAATTGGGAATAAAAAACAATAATAAAATTGACTTGTTGTGGTTGTGGTGGGGTGGGGGGAGGGGAGTCCTCCTCCAGGAGGCGGGCAATACGTTTATCCGTTATCGCAGCGGCATCATCGGAAAGGGTTGGAAATAAACGGAGGGGGCAGCAGGGAATCCGTTTGCCGCGCAGTATCAAAATATTTTCGTTCGGATTTCGAGCTCTGAAAAATAACAGACAGTGACGTACGTGCCTTGTTCGCCTTGTTCAAGATGAATTGAAGAGGTATCACTCGCCAGTCCGTCCGTCAGTCCGTCAGTCCGTCCCGTCGACCCGTCATGTCGTCTCATTAAAATTAGGGGCGGGCGCTGCGGCGCTCGGCGTCGCGGCCGTGGCCGTGCGGCCGCCGTGTCGGAGCCGCGGAAACTTTTGAGGGAACGGCATATTGGCAGCACCATCCCATCCCATCCGCGAGGGCTACGCCGCGGCCGAGAGACGCGGAGACGGATCCACCCCCAAGTTTCTCTATCAGATCTAGTCGCCATGTTTATTGAGGCCCGGGATGGGATAGCAGCAGTCGGTGAGTGGAACTTTTCCGGGCTTCCCGGAGCAGGCACGAGCAGCGAAAACAAGGGGCCGATTTGGCCGCGCCGTGTGAGTGAGAGGGGCAGTGACGGAGTGAGGGAGTGTGTGGTGCGAACCCATTCCGCTTAGCCGGGCCCCCGATTCCTCAGGGGACAGACCAGCCGACTCTGGCACGGCAGCCCACCGCAGGACGGCAGGGCCCGGGGGTGGCTGGGCTGGGGCGTGGGGCCGCGGGGGCCACTGGGGCCGCTGGGGTCGTCCAGCCTGATTGTTATACCGGAACAGAGTTGCGTGTGTGGGACAGAGAGGGGGCGTGTAGAGTTTAGTCCGGGTGGTGTGTATCCCGGCCGACCCCAGCAGGGCCTGGCCGGCCGCTTTGACGTAACGACATTCCCGAATTTAGTGGGGCCATCCGGGCATCCGGGCCGCCGTCCCGGTCAGTCGCAGCGCCGGAGCCATTTTGCAGAGTGCGGTGCTTTGTTTCAAGTTGATTTCCCAACGCCGAGCCGTGCAGTTGGCGCGAAAATGCTGCTTCTCCACTCGGTGCGTTCACTGTTAAAACCGGGTCGTTCGGACCCTGCCCCGTCCCGTCCGTCCACAAGAGACTGCCCGTGGAATCGAGGCCCGGGCCGGGCGGGCTAAGCCGGCACGTCCTCTGTGCCTGCCCGCCTGCCCTGGGCGGTGGCGCTAGCCGTGGGCTGCCGTGCCGGGCCGTGGCTTATCGTGGAGGTGTGGCGAGGGCACGCCGAATTCGCCCGACGGCCGTCCATCAGAGCGAGGGGGTGAAGGGCGGCGGGGCGGCGGGGCGGTTTGGTAATTCCATCGGCCAGTCATTCGATCGGCCCTTCTGGAGTGGCAACGGCAACGGGACGGCAGCGGGTCGCCGCCGCCACCGCACTGCGCGTCTCGGCGTCCCGGAGCCCCCGCGCGGTAGGCTGCCCGCTCGGCCGGCGTGCCCGCCAGCGGCCTGCCTGCACGGCGCCTCGCCCCGGCCAGCGCGCCAGAGACGCTCCGCGCGCTGTCGCACTGCCGTGCCGTCCTCGAACGGCACTCGAATCAAACACTCGACGCGACCGTTCCCACTGCCCTTCGAACGAGCAATCCATTGGCACCCTCGTGTGTTCGATGCGAGGGCCATTAGCGGACTTTGGAACTGTAACGCGGCCCGAGCCGTGTCCGTGGCTGCCGCTGCGGTGAAGGTCGCCGCCGGGGGAGGGGAGGGGGAAGGAGCGAGGTGTCGAAAGTGGCTGTAGTGCGGATTGCGGATTACACCGGGCGTTTTGTTCCGCGGTCTGTTCCGCCCGCGGCGTCCTCCCCGCCCCCTTCCCCCTCGCCGATGGGCTGAAAAGAATAATTCAGTGAGAGAGCGCTCCGCTTTCGGTTTGATTCAGCCGCAGGGCCGGTCGGTGTGGCTCGCCGTTTATTGCAGGCCAGCTCCATACCTTTTCCATGATTATTAACACACCTGGGGCGGCGGGCCGCGGCGGGCCCACTCTGCGGCCCACCTGTGCCTCGCACTACGGTCGGAGCCGCGCAACTTCGGCCCCGCGGCGTGGCTGTGTGCGTGCGTGTGTGTGTGGACTCGCGCGCTGCAGGATTACGGCCTCGAGCTGTAAGTTAAATTTATGTGACGGAACATGCGAAAAGCTTTAGAGCGGCAACGTCTGAGAAATTATGATAGTGGCGGAAGCCCTTCCAGTGGGCTTCTCCAGCGAATCTCTCCAGCGGCGCGATTCGCGACGCTCCAGCCGGCCTCTCCGGCGATGCGGCGACGAGCCCCCCAATGGCGACACAGCCAGCGCGCAGGCTCTCCGGCGAGCTCTCCGGCCGGCTTAGCCAGTGCATGTATAAGGCTGCAGCGCCCTGAGCCCCCCGGCTTTGCAAAGTGCAGTGCGGGAAAACTGCTGGCTGGGAAGTGCGGTCGTTCTTTTGTTGAATACCAAGCGGCCGAAATGATAAGTAACAGCACCGGACCTCTGCGCGGGGCGTGCGCGAGACTGCGTCTGAGTTACGATCACTCGAACGGCAGGACGGCTGGATCTTGGCAAGCGCCGCCGCGGGCCGGCGGGCGGGGCGGGCGGGGCGGGGCGGGGCGTGGCGGCGGCGTGGCGGGCGGCGGGGCGGCGGGAGAGGGCACATCGGCTTTCACCCCCTTTGAACATAACTCGTTCTGTACCTCGGCCAGGCGCTCGGCCAGGCCACGGCCACGCTGCAGCCACCCTTGTTCTTGTTGGGAGCGGCACGGCCGGCCGCCATTGGCTGGCTGTAACGAGTCGGCCTGGTGGGGCCGTGGGGTGGGGTGGGGGGCAGGTCGCCGACCGACCGGCAGAGGGCGTTCGCATCGTCATGTTCAGCTATGGAAATGGTGAACCAGGGGTGCGGCACGGCCATGGCACGGTCATGGCACGCCCATGGCACGGCCATGGAGCGGGGGGGGGGGGGGAGTCTCGCAGGGACGCTCCGTTCGGCGGGTTGAGATGTCACTGCCGC